TTACTCATAATCTCTCTTCCAGGGTTAACAATGGTGAACACTTCGATATATTTCCTCATAGTTCTTTTTATTTTTCACAATGTGTCTATGTATATAATTTTATTTTTTCACAACGTGGATCATATTATATAAATATTTTTGTGTCCAACCTTTCATGTAACTATCGAATAAATATATAAATATAAACATATAATAAATATAAGTGATATTTAGGTACCATTATCCTTAAATTGAAAACTTGATTTTTAATGACTATAGGATATTCCATCCTACGGCTAAAACATGCTTATCCTAAGTGATCCCCAAACAGTAGATATGAATACTTAGGGCATTTCCTCCTTCTGTCCCTCATAAATAAGGCTACGATGGATCCTGATAGAGTCGTGGAAGAGAGGTTCCTGGGTCAAGGGGCCCTAACAGCTGCAATGCTTTTGATCCCCACTGCCAGGCTACCCCACAGAAAGGTGTCCCTTTTCTCAAGCTTTAGCCACAGTCCGGGGGAAGGGGTCTGACCCAGTACATTCTGGGGGCCAAGGGTCTCTTAAGCTGGCCCAGGGCGGGAGGACGGCCGTGGCTGCAGGGGGCGCACCTGCCTCCTCCGTGGAGCATCGCTGCCCTCCCACATGCTGCCTGCTTAGAAAGCCACCCTCCCTCCTATTTTTCAAAGCTTTTTTTCATTAACCCCAAAGCCAGGAAATGGCTCTTTATGACGCGATTTTCTATCATTTCTGGAGCCAGGTAATTGGGGAGGTGGCTGGAGCCCAGCCCTGCTTTCTTAGTTCTGAAATAGGAGCTCACATCTCATTTCCTGGCCTCCCTTTCTCCTGCCAGGGCTCTAGGCCCTTTGTTTTAGGAGCTGTCGCCCCACCAGCCGCTGAGGGCCACGCTGCAGCTTCCCTGGGGGAGGCGAGGTGGCCAGCCACCTCACGACTCTGAGGTGAGCTGAGCTGCCCCCCTCTGCTTGGAGCCTTCGAGGAGTGCGCTGGGCTTACGACCCCCACAGTCCTCTTCTGGTGGCTGGAACCTCTGGAAATGCTCGAAGGAACTGCGATGTGTCACCTCACCTGTTGAACACCTCAGCTCCTGGGAATCGGTGCTGTGGTCACATGGATTCGCTTATCCAATGAGACTGGTGTCTCCCTGAGTCCTGAGGGTATGAATCACCAGACAGCTTTTATGGGGTTGAACAGAGAACAAGGAAAACCTAAGGCTTAGGAGGCTGCAATCACCTTTTGCAGAGATCCTCCCTCAGGCACCTGCCTCCAGCGCCCTGCAGGGAGCTGTCCAGGTGCTGGCCTGTATGAGCACCATCTTCCTGGGCCACCTTCAGACCCTTCCTGCCAAGGTCTCCTTCTTCCCCGCCCCCTCTGTCTTCAGCCCCTTCTGGCCTTCACTTCCGTATCACTTCCTTCAACACCCAGCCACTTCTTGGCAGTCAAAATGGAGAGGAGTCTGCATTGCTGCTGATGGGCTCCCCTGCCCTTGAACTGTTGGATAAGCAATCATCTAGTTGCCGGGGGAATAAATTAGGAGAGCAGAGGCTGAACAGCTGGCCTTAGCAGCACCAGGAGGGCCGCTTGGAGAAGGGCCAGTGGGAATACGAGCGGCCGCCTGGTCACCTAGCAGGGGCAGGGACGGCTGTGTGAGCTCGCCAGGTTTCACACTCCGCTGCCTCAAGAGGAGGGAGGGGCGCACTCTAACTGAAGAGAAGAAATCAGTTATTCACAGACCTCATTTGGAGGCTTGACAGGGCACTTAGGGGGCTGAGGGGGCTGAGGAGGCAGACGGAACTGAGAGGTGGTGGGAAAGGACAGCCGTGCCAGCGTCTGGAGGCTGGGCAAACAGCGTGGAAGAGCCTATGTCCCTGTCTACACCTCTCCCACCAGCAAGGTCAAGTCCCAGGAGAGAAGGGGGAACTTATAGGACTGGATCCGTGGGTGAAGGAGGGCAGGTGAGGAAGTAATCTCACCTGGAAATGTAGCTCACCCAGAAGCACAGCCTGCCTTCTAGGTCCCTGCCAGCCAGCTAGACAGGAAACGTCACCCTGAGGCTCCTTCCAGGAGAAAGAGACTCATCCTTGCTTCTTAAAGTCCAGTATTCCTTGAGCCCTGGATACCTCATGGCCAGTGACCCTGTCACCCCGGCCTTCCTGTTTGCCCAGTCACCCAGAAAGTGTGGCCCCCAAACAGCTCCTGGTTCCCCTGCTAAGACCAGCCCCTGTGTGCCTGGGTCCTGACAACTGGCCTGAAGGTTCCGGCTGCTGTGCCCACTCGCGGCCTGAGAGATGCCAACGCAGATGGAGCCTGAACGTACCATTCCCCTGTGAGTGCTGTAACCTGGCCATATCTAGGTCAAATTACATCTTTAAGCCTCTATTTCCTTACCTAGAAATAGGAACTAGTAATGTCCTAGCACATAAGGTTGCTTGCCTCATGTCTCCACAATCCCAAAGGCAGGGAACATAGGATGACAAAGGACTCAGTGGCTCCTTGAATGTCCCTGGAAGTGGCATATGTCACTTCTGCTCATGTTGCATTGGCCAAAGCAGGCCCCTTTTGACAAGCATGACTTCAAGTAGGCAAGGGAGGAAACTCCTCCCACAGGGAGGGAACTGAGCACAAAATACCCAGTCTCTTCTGGGGATGCGTGCCCCATGGGCCCTCCCCCCATCCCCTTCCCCGCAGGGCAGCCAGCTCCCACCTCCACCCCGCCGGGGCCTGGCTGGACCTGCCCCACTCTGAGACACAATTGGGCATTTTCCTTGACTTGAACACAAGGCACATTTTGCTAAGCTGGATGTGCTCATGTGTGTGTATGTTTCTAATTAAGACCTAATGAATGAAGCCATCAGATTTGTTCAGATTGGCCCAGGATTCAGAAAAAAAGCTAAGGTTTTATGAAACTTCTCAATCCATGTGGAATGCATGAATTATTGAAAGGATAGAAAGAGACCCAGGCATGAAGGGCTGCTCCATTATTAATCAGGCCCAGAGTCCCCAAGTCCCTAAGCACAGCTGCTGGCTTTGACACCTACAGCATTTTCCCATTACGTCAACAGCGAACATTCAAACGCTCCACACTGGCAGCCTCCGAGCTGGGCTCTGCCCACGCCATCCACTGCCTGTCTCATTACCTGAACCAGTCCAAGCAGAACGGGGGCCAAGGATATTGGTATTTAGTGCCCACCTGCCTCTGCTTCCTAGCGCTCTCTGCTCGCAGGCCCCCAAGCTGTGGTCCAAACTCTTTGAAAGAACTGGAAACCCTTTCACGCTGACCCCAACTTGCCCTTTGGTTTCATCTCCATTCTCCACCCCTGCCTTACCCCAGAGCATTTGTCTTTCCCCGAATGTAATTCCATATTCTCAGACCTTTGCCCACGCTGGCCCCTCTGCCTGATTCGCCTTTCCCATTCCTTTGTCTCCCCGGTGAGCTTCTGCTCATGTTTAAGACCAGGTCAGAGGAAGGGAAGCCCATGTGGGAGACATTAGCTCAGTGAGGTGTCACAATAACCCACTGAGGTGTGTCTCATGACCAACACCAGCTGCATAATGTGTGGGGTCTGGTGCGAACTGAAAATGCTGTGCCTTATTTAAAAATGACTACAATTTTTAAGGTGGCAAAAGCAGCCCATTAAAGCAGGCCTAAGGCCTTTCTGAGAGCAGAGTCATGTGCGCAAGTCCCATGCCCGCAAAGGCAGCCCTGGTTTTAGAGGAAGAAACTGAAGCTCAGAGGGGTTAAGTAACTTGCCCAAAGTCACACAGTAAGTTAGAAGCAGAATCATGTTGAATCCCAATTCCTTTTCGTGAGGTCTCCCCACTTGCTTCCCGCAGAATGATTGGGAGAGGGGAGGCTGTGAGCACCCCTAGAAACTATTTTCCTTTCAAAGGGTGCCTTCTGCAGGTAATGGGTCTGTTGCTTCACCGTGGGCACTGCAATATGACCAGCATCGCCCCAGACAAAGAGCGCCTGGGGAGCACGCAGGGCGCTCTAACATCCCTCAATCAGACCGTGAGAGCGGGCACCCCCTGCCCCGGGCACCCCTGCCCTCAAACCCACGCCAGGCAGACTGCTGTCCCCCGAACACACTCTGCAGCTGCCTGAGGACATGGCTGCCGCCCAACAGAGATGATCCTGCAGGACATGGATCCCAGGGCAGTGTCTCTGATCTTTGCTGGGAATATTAAATGCAGACCTTGAGGAAGATACATCTCCTGGCCGCTCTACCCATTTTTCATCTTTTCATATCACTTATCCAGCTTCAACAGTGTTCTTTCTTTTTTTCTTTTTCTTTTCTTTTTTTTATTTTTATTGTTTTTGGTTGTGGTTTCCCCTTAACAGTTTTGGCCATTCACTCAACAAATATAACTAAACACCTACTATGTGCCAGGCCTTCTGCCTTTAAGGAGCAATTTGCTTAGCACCATACAGGCATACGTGCTTTGAAGCACGGTCCCGGAGCCGCAGAGACCTGAACTGCAGTCCTGGCTCTGGCAATTTCCAGCTGTGTGTCCCGAGGCACATCCAGTCGTTGCTCTGCGCCTCAGTTCTCCCATCTGCAAAATGGGACTGCTGTGGGGGCCAAATGACTTAATACGCGCAAAGCGCTTTGAACAGTGCCTAGTGCACAGTAAGTGATCAATAAATACTAGATGTCATTGTTGTGGTTATTATTAAGCAACAGTAGCCGTAACCCCTGGCATTTGAAGGTAAGTCTGACCCAAGGCTCAGGGGTCTCAGCCGAGTCCTATACGGTCTCGGAACGTCTCTCCTTCCTACCCCAGCCCCCAACTCCCCACCTGCATACTCCACGAAGGTGCTTCCCCGACCGGGGTTCTGCCCCGGGTAGGAACCCAGCGTCTGCAGGGCCGAAAAGCCCGCGGGAGCTCGCGACGCGGAGGCTGGAAGGCCCCGCCCCCAGTCCCGCCCCCGAGCCCGCCCCCTGCCCACCCTCCCGCTCAGAGTTCGCAGCTCGCGCCGCGGCGGCTGCGGCCACGGTCACGGTCACGGGCGCGGAGCGCGGTTCGGCTGGACGACACGGGACAGGCGCCCGGGGAACCTCGCGCGCATCCTACCGCCCGACACGCGGAGCCGGCGAGGAGCATTGCACCAGCATCGGGGGCGCTGCCGCTCCAGCGAGGTAAGAGCCGGGAAGACCGGGAGACACCGGGTCTCCCAGCCTGGGGGCGGTGGAGGACAGCCTCCCGCCGGAGCCGCTTCCACGACGCCGGGCCGCCCCCTACCGCGGCCTCCCCGCCCCGTTACCGCGCAACCAGGGCAGGGGCCATATCGCCCCCTGCGCGTGCCTCCTGGCCGCGGGAGCGGCGAGGGCCGGGGCCGCGTGGTGGGGAGCGTGAGCGTGTGAGTGTGTGACTGTGTGTGTGTGTCTCTCTCGGGGATGTGCGGGGAAGGGGTGATACCTCCTCTTTGCCAGCGCTGCGGGTCAGGTCTTGCTGCCTGTTCCGAAGCTGAAGGCAGACTCCCGGAGTGGACTGGAATGCTTGGTACGAATTATCCGGATAATGCGGAGGGCGAGCCCACCACCACCTGTTGAGCTGGGCTGTCCACGCGCGTCGGATGTCTCACTTACCACAGCCTGCCTGCCGGGTGATCTCACTTTCCCAGCGGTGCGATCGCCCCGCCGGTCCGCCTGCCCCAGGACTTTCCCGCCGGGCTAACGGGACAGGGAGGGCGCCTGGGTCTTGCCGGGTAGGAGAAAGTGTCCCTGCCAGCCGCCACTGAGCAGAGACAGACACGCGGGGGAGAAGGAGGTGATGGCAACGGGGGCCACCGGCAGATGCGCCCCCAAATTTCTCCGGTCACTCCAAATCCCCCTCATTTTAATCACTTGATTTGTCTCTGCTCTCATCCTAATTTGACCATTGATGAAGATGCAGTTTAGTAAAACCTTGTAAGTGAAGTCAAATTATCGCCTTCTGGGACTGATGATCAAATTGCCACTTCCTGGACTACAAAAGACTTAACAGAGAATTCAGGAACCTGGCTGGGGAGGAAAGAGGCACGTGTTCTGAGCCTGGCCAGCGCGGGCAGGGTGCCCCTCGCCGTGCTGGGTGTAGCCACATGCTCCCATCTGCCCCCTAGAACCTGCCAGGCACATCGGTGTCCCCTTTTATGGTTGAAGAGGCTGTTGTTCAGAGAAGGAAAGGGATTCACTCACTTGGCACTGGATTATCAGTGACCGGATAAGAGCAGGTCTCAGGACAGGATCCCCAAATTGGAGCCTGTCTCGATTTGGCAGCCGTCACACTCCGACTGTTACAGTGCTGGCTTCACCCCATCCCGGGGACCACCCTCCCGGCCACCTCGGGCTCACTCCCTCATCCCTGCAAACCCTGGAGGGTTGATAGATTAACATCCCAGATTGCTCTGGAAGTGGGCGAGGGGTGACCGGCCTGGATTCGCTGTCCCAGGTCCAGGACCTCTCAGGACCACAAGCAACTTGGTGACAGGTTGGTTGCACCTTTCTGCTGATACCACAGCCAGCCCTGCGTGTTGGAGTCCGCCTGAGAAGCCCTCGCTGTGCCTGACTTTCCTGCTAACTTGGCAGCTGCAGGTAGCTGGGGGCATCCCGTGTCAGGCCCAGGTCCCTAGGGGGCCCCCCTCTCACATGTGGGAGGTGTGGATGCCCCGAAGGGCAGGGTGGAGCCAGGCTGCCCCATCCACACATGTACGGTTTGCAGGAGCCTGGCACCCTGGTGGGCTGCACCCACGGCGCCGCCAGCAGGCAGCAGACTTGTGACTGTCAGCCGTTCTCAGGTTGTGAGTACAGGTTCCGTGATTTGGGGCTGAGATGGGAGAGGGGAATGCAGAGGGAAGAGGTTGCCTGAATTATTCACTCTTGGCTGGAGGAGGCAGGTCTTCTGTCGGAGTGGAAAACGTGGGCTCCAACCCCACCTGGGTCCCTGTCTGGGAGACTCAGTTTCCCCATCTGTGGCGTGGGGCCGGGGTTTTGTGTAAAGTAAGGACACCGATGCCCATGTCAGCTCATCAGAGGTGTCCGGAGCTGGCTGCCTCTGCTTCCTCTAGTCCCCAGCCTGACTCTCAGACATGGAACCTGAGGGAGGCGACCCTGTGCCTAGGACCCCTCACACCACCCTCAGAGCTGGAGGAGTCGCGGAGACTTTTGTGTCAAGGTGGCTCACAGACTGAGCTTGGATTCCCAGAAAAAGGATGGAAGACTTGGAGCCCGGTCTCCACCAAGCCTTACCTTGGGGGGAGTTGGCGCTTTGCCTGGAGCTTCCGGCCCTCGCTGTCCTCCTGTGCCTACCCACACAGCCCCCGGCCCGGTCCCAGGAGGCCGCTGGGCACCAGCCTGCTCTTTCATTTCATCCTAGGGTTGGGGTCAGCCTGTCTCCCTGGCGGAATTGGGGCCAAGCTACTACCTGTGACTTCAGAGGCGCCAGGAAAACCCCGGCCCACCAAATGCCATGCTGTGCCCCCAAACCTAGCTGTCTGCTGCCTGATATCCACCATTAGACTCATTCTTTTGGTCCCTGGGCTTGTGCCTAGTGATGGCAGCTACTAAATCTTAGCATTAGTGACTTGTTTCAAAGCTTTCGGGACCTGTGAGGGGAGAGGAAGAAGGCAGAAGAGAGAGGGGAGGAAAGTTAAGGTGGGGAGAGGAGGAAAGAGGAGGGGACACTTTCCCAGCCTCAGGGTTTGCAGAGAAGGGCCCAGCTGTGAGCCCGAGGAGGCCCTCGGGGGGAGGGAAAGCTTAGGGGCGGGACGGGGCAGGCAGCAGGCCTGGAGAGCTATGAACTCGAAGTGGGAATTCCTGGTGGGAATGTGGGCTGGATCGCCTGCTAAACGCACAGGTGTTGGATAGAAGCTTCCAGAGGCTTCCAGTCCTATGGCTGGGTGAGGCCTTGGCAGCCTGTTTCTGGAGGTGATATAGGGGTCTCCTCTCCCCTCCCCGGAGCGTGGCCACGTGGTGGTTAATGTATTCCATAGGTGGTGTGCTCTGCATTTCCAGAGCCTGGGCTAGTCAGCTGGCTGTTTAAAACTGTCCGTGGTAATTTGTTAGGTCAGCAAAAGGCTGGGGCTGAGCTGCGTGGGGAGGTTTCAACACCTGTGCCTCCCTGAACATCCCCACAGCCCCCGTGGCACCCTGTCTCCAAAACACCAGAGGTCACTGAGCCCTGTGGGTTCCCTTGGCTGGGAGAGGCAGCTGGGGTCCCCCTAAAAGACCATGCAGGTAGGCACACAGTCTGGAATTTTCCAGCGTGGGGCAAGGGCTGGGGGTTCTGGGAGCGAGAACTGACAGGCCCTGCCCAGGAGCCCACAGGCTGGCCTTACGTGGGGAGAGCCCTTGGGCTCTACGGGGACCTGCAGCGTGGGCTGGTCCTGGCTCACGACAGCCCCGCAATGAGCGGTTTGCAGCCCGTCTGCCTGCGGCCGAGGGCAGCGCTCAGCCCAGAGCGGGAGAGTCCCAGGTCAGCAGTATGACCTGTTGGCCGTGAACTCCCACATGTAGCCCCTTCTTTAATATTATTCTCAACTATGTCCATTCTTCAGTAATAGCTATGATGACGACATGACAGTAGTTCTTCACTCTTCCCTCGTAATAATTTACGAGCACCTGCTGTATACATGCCGGCTACTGTTGTAAGTGGAGGGCGCACGACTGTGGCACTGTTGGCATTGAGGGCCCAATTATTCTTCGGAGAGGACCGTCCTGTGCACTGTAGGATGTCAGCAACACCCCTCCTCCCAGTGTGACAACCAAAAATGTCTCTAAATGGCCCCTGGGGGGTACGGTCACCCACTGTTGAGAACCATTGGGAATACAGCTATGAACAGAACAGACAGAATTCAATGCCCTTCCCTTAGGAACAAGCATTCTGTAGAGGGAGACGGACAATAGACGTGCTAAGGAAGGAAAATATACAGCAGACTGCGTGGGGAAAATGCCGGAAAGAAAGACAGGGCAGGGTGGAGATTCAGAGAGTGTGGGGGTGGAGTTGCCATTTTCAAAGGGGCCTCAGGGAAGGCCCTACCGGCAGGTGACATTTGAGCACAGACCAGAAGGAGGGGAGGGAGACCAGGAGAGGAGGGAGACGCGCGCAGCTGGGGGAAGGCGTCCACCCCCGGCCCGGTCAGCTGTGTGAGACCGATGGGACCGCTCCTAAGGCAGAGCTGAGAGAAGTGGCAGGGGCCGTGGGTGGGCCGACAGACCACGGGTGAGTGGGACAGAGGCCCCAAGAGTGAGTAGCTTTCTAAGGTGCTGTCTTGTGTCCCACATGTCAGGCAAATAAAGGGACTGATGTTGGGACATTTCCAGAAGGTGGTAGCTGATGATAGCTTCATCCCTTCTGTGGCATTTGGTTTGTACCTGGCAGTTCTGTGCTAATAATAGAAGTGAACGTTCAATAGGTGCTACCACACGTGAGGCTTATCATGTGAAAGCCCCCTGCCGTCCGATCCTTAGGAGACACGCCGTGGTGTCTGGCTCCTTTCACAGTCCAGGACTGAGGCGCAGCTGGACAGCGTCGGCCTGGGGGTGCGGCCCCGGCTCACCCTCTCCAAAACCAGGCCGTGGATGGGTGGGACATGGGCCTGGAGCTGGGCCGCCTGGTGTGATCTCAGGCAAATTATTTTACCTCTTTGAGCCCCAGTTTCCTTAATTCTAAATGAAGGGGAGAGCAGTTGCCACATAAAGTGGGTGTGAGGATAAAATTAAAAGGGAGACAACAGATATCACACATCAAGCAATGACAGGAGGTATTACATACATGGTGGCACTTGCTTTGTCTTCCCGGCCCTGTGGACACTGAGCCCGTCTTACTCCCTCCATGATGGCTCTGCTCAACTTGGTGGCTGGAAAGAATGAAGCCAATGGATCCTTCTAGGCCACCTTGTCAGTTAACCAGCCCCAAAGCCATGGTCAAGTGTAAAGGGAGTGGATACAATGGCAATAGCTCCTACACATGTCCCCTCCTTTAGATCTACTGTGCTGAGCGTTCGACTGACATTATCTAACTGTCAAGCAACTCTTTGAGGTCCTTGTCATTAACCATATGTTATAGGTGAAGAAACTGAGGCACAGAAAGGCCAGATGACTTGCCCACAGCCACCCAGTTCATAAGTAGTAGAGCCAGTATTTGAACCCAAGGAGCTCAA